GCGCCTCTTTCCCTCGCCAGAGCATACATAGTCACGCCATATCATAACATGGTTCTTATCATGACCAATGTCTGATTTTCTGATGTCAAAGCCTTTGACTAACCCGTAGTCCATGTAAAAATCATAGGCTTCTTCTGTATCATTGAACTTCATTTTTTAATATCTTCAGGCTGTAGAAATATGAGATCAGCGACATTATCTTCCTGGGTGGTGTGACTGACTCCGACACCATCGTTTTCTTGGACTGGCTGCGACGTCAATAGTAGGACTGCCTCCGACGTCAATGGAGGGTCTGCCTCCGACGTCATTGTCACTTCGGGAAATTTTGGGGAACCAAGGATGTAGATTACAAAACCCTACTGGGAATGATGGCCGAATTAATGCTTGAATGGGCCACTTAATAATTATCCCCCTTAAACCGAATCATAACACTATTTGTGATATCTTATTTTTTTGGTAGGAACGATTTGAACTTTCTATTGTTTATCTTAGTGATTTCTTTACCCTTTTCATAAATAACGAAAATATTTAAAATGAAAAGGAATGCTTAGTAAAGGCAAACGCCAGCTGACTCTAGCTGTGTACTACGTGTATGGGGAAGTATCAAATATTAATATGAGCGAATATTTACTAATAGCAATCAATTTTTTATTCAATCGAAAAACAAAATATATTTTTAATTTTAGGTTTAATAACTACTCATGTTTATCTCAAGTTCATGTACCTTAGACTAAACCCTAACTATTTTTCCGCGGGAAAAATATGCCGCCACATTTTATCCTAACCTTGTATATATAATTAATCTTCAGAGTGGTTCCATATCCTTCTTTGCCGCAATTTTGAGTACAGACTAAAGCTTAGAGGCACAACATGGAAAATAGGAGGATTACTCGCTCTTCGTCCAAACTTGTGGTATGTCTAATAGCTCTTTAACCATTGAAATTCATTCTAGTTAATTTATTAATCGTAGGTTCACTGTCATTGAAAGAGACCGCCGAATTTGTGACTCCAACAAAGAAACCAAGGCTACCCAAAGGTGTAAGCACTCCATCCACTCCTACTTCAGTCATCGTTTTTATTCGGACGATGAATCTAACTCTGAGGTAACACCAAAGAAGCCAAATGGAAAAAGTATTTCTCTAAGTTCTGTTAACAAGGTAATAAAGGTGTCATATTTCCCATTGAAGTGTTCTTTGCCGTTATTGCGTCAGACATAACGAATGCATTTCGACTCGTGTTTATTTGTGGTCCCTATTCCAGGTTGTTTTGAAGTTTAACCTACCTACTGGTATGGAATACGATGATGAGCAAATCCAGCTTGCTCACTATATATTTTTAGCCAATCTGACACCTAACGAAGTATTGGTCAAAACCTCAAACAACTCTTGTATAAGGAAGTCATTGTGGTCCTTAAGCCCTCGCTCATTCGTAGATGCTGAAGTAATCAACATAACTCCAAAATTTTGTTTTGTTTGTCCACTATCAATGCTTTCTACGTTGAATTATTATATAACAAATATATAATATCATGAAGTGTTTTTTGTCCATGTTATATTAGGTTATAATAGCGGTGGCCTGCCACTTGACTCTAGAAGAGTTGTGGACAAATTCTAAGGACGAAAAAGGAGTGTGCTATCTGCCTGCTGAACTACAGGTTGTGGTCCGATTATGCTTAAGATTAATTTCCTCTCACCAAAAAAAAAAATACAACACATGTTTTTTTAACGTGAATGATATTGTGTTGACAAAATTTCAATTGTGCAACTACCACATGTGCAGGAACTAGTGATTTCATGTGGAATAACACCCAAGAGGGCATTAGACCTATACGAATCAAAATTCCTTAGTCGAACCAATATGGTGAACAAGGTAAACTGTTCGCCTTAATAAGTATTAGATGGTTTGCAGTTTATTTTTTTAATACGTGTTGACAATTTCGGCATATGTAGGTGTGTGTTCCGATGAGAGATAATGCACATTGGTACTTGGCTGTCATTAAGTTGGACAAGGAAGAAGTCCATATCTTGGATCCACAACCAAATGAAGACCGCAATTCCTTTCGACTACAATCTGTTCAAACAATGGTAAATTTGTGACATTGTGCCGTTATAACGCAAAAAAATGTAAATACCTCTTTCTAAATACAAACGTTTCTTAATTTATACAGATGAGATTTATGCAAGCCTTGTGGAAGATTCTCTATCGTGAACAAGGTCCGGGATTGTCGCCACCAAGGATTGCGGAGTTTTCGTACACAAATCCTTCAAAGGATCAAGAACAACTTCATCGGTAAGTATGCTCATTTTGTGTGATATTAAACGACGGCTTATCAACTTGTTTATCATGCAATGCTTTCATTTTATGTAGGTCTGACAGTGGAGTCTGGGTCTACATGTGGATGTATGGCGCAAGCTGGGACTCCTCTTATATTTGGGTAAAGACAATTCTAGCTCGCATATTAGAAAACCACACTTGATTGTTATTTTTGAATCATGCGTTAAGCACCATGTTTGTTGATGTTGATAGCCATGCACTCAAGTGAGGAGGATGCAGATCGCTTTGTACCTTGTTCGAGAGCCCATGAACTACATAAGGCATATGGTGCTCACGGAAGCAAGAACAGTTGCACCTCAAGTTGAAGCTGCAGTCGAAGAGTACAAGAAAGCCCATGAAAGGAGGAAAAGGGAAAGAGAAGAGCACAAGGAAACCCAGTCAAAGAGCCCAAGGACAACCTGATTTTGCATTTTTTTTTTCAAGATGATGGACAACCATGTTATGTTTTTTTTCTTTCAAGATGATGGACAACCATTTTTGGTTTGGTTTGGTGAATTCTTTCTATATTTGGTTTGGTTTGTTTTTTCGTGGAAACTATATTGACTTTCCGGACAGCCATCCCTTCCGAATCGAGTCTCAAAGTATCTAGCTTTAACCGGGCTACTACCTTAGCCAACAAGTGGCAATTTCCAGCTTTCCAGTTACACTTTTGCACAACCTGAAAAGGGACCTTCTGGACTTGATCTCCAGCTCCCAAGTAATCCCTGGTGTTCACAAATATCCCAGGTTCAATACAAATCAATAAAATCTCATTTTCATCGAGCCATGTGTGACGAACAAGCTTCCAAAGTGAGCTGTCCAAAATGGCAAAGAGACTTTACCAAAATTCCAGCTTCCAACTTGTGAGTGAGGTTGCTTCTGTTCAAGCCATTGTATCTTGTAGAGAGGTTTAATTGAGATCATATCATTCCACTTCGTTCCCAATTGCCCTCGTCTAATTAAATTTGCATTCATGTACAGTTAACCCAAAAAGTAAAACTGATTGGCTCCCAATCAGCATAATTAATGACCAAAACCCGTACAAGGCAGATAGAAAATTCTTAGGTAATTAATTTAATGTTCCTAGGATATGGAAAGGCTTCCATTCCTTGAATTTCCACCAACGATGTATGCACTCCCCTTTTAGTGAGAGAATTCATTGTATTAATAAATACAATAAAAAGGCTTACATAATTAATGGATTCTTTATTGTGTATAATTAAAAGGTTATTTTACTATAAACGAAGCATGATAGATTCACCGGGGGAATAAAAGAAGCATGAGTCTTGATGAAAAAGGGGAAAAATCACCATAGATAAAAAAATCATTATAATCAAGCCATATCCATACTATTCACGCCTATCATTGTCACTATACTTGTGAAAAAATATAAATAAAACCATAATTTTCGAAAACCATTAAAAATTGAAGATGAAATAAGTAACACATCCTTCGACCTAATTGGAGCTGCTTAGAACAAAAGCGGATTAAAATCTCCCCCAATGAAATTCATTTGCAATTTCATAGGTAGTCCCTACTTCCACTTCTATAATTTTGAGAAAACACCACTTCTCAGCAACAATGAAAGTCAATTGCAATTCCATCAATAGTCCCCACTTGTGGGTCCATTTCAATTGCAAGCAAATTTGCACACCAAGCAAATTTGCACACTTGCAATGGCACCCCACATCAATGCAATTCAAAGTTGCAATTGCAACTTATTACCACATCAGCTTGCAAGTCACTATAATTGCATCATTGGAGATGCTCTTGTGCAAATTTGCACCCTTGCAATAGCTTCTCACATCATAGAAATTTAAAGATGCAATTGCACCTCCTTGCCACATCATCTTGCAAGTCACAAAATTTGCACCATTGGAGATGACCATTACTGCATCTCGTCACCTGTCTTAGGGAACTTAGCCATGGCAAATTCAAAAAATACTGCATGCATAGAAAAATCTTGGTCTGGACAATTCAAAAAATAGGAGACTTTCCTAGTCAGATGATGTAGTGGCTCCCCTCAGTACCTGACAGTTTTGGTGGACAATGTAGAGATGGTGAACAGCTCGACGGACTGGAAAACTCTCTGGCGATGGCGCGGACCCGCTCGAGTGCGACACTTTCTTTGGCTGGCGACTCGTGCCCGCCTCCTCACCAATGCCGAGCGCGAGCGAAGGCATCTTTCTCCCTCGTCTCTGTGTACTTATTGCAGGGCCGGACCTGAAACAGTCCTGCATGTGTTGCGGGACTGTCCTTTCCCGAGGTTAACTTGGTTGCAGGTTATCCAGCCTTCTGAGCACTAGACATTTTTCGGACTTGATCTCCAAGAGTGGCTATTGAAGTACCTTCGGCAAGAGCACACCAGCCTCATGTTTGGCATTACCTGCTGGTCCCTGTGGCAGACCAGAAACGACCGAGTCTTTGCAGGCAAGGTGGTTTCAGCTGAAGCTTTCCTACAGCGCGTCCAAACTTGGATTAATGTAGCGCAGACAGCCATGGACAATGACAAGGCCATCCATCAGCCTTGTCTACCTGCTAGAACGGAGGAGCTGATCTCATGGCAGCCGCCTCCTCCCGAGTGGGTTACTCTCAACACATACGGCTCCAAAATCCCAGAATCAGGCCATGCAGCTGCTGGTGGCTTGATAAGAGATCATCTAGGACGCTGTTTTGCGGCGTTCGCCATGAACCTCGGGATTTGTTCCATTACCCGAGCAGAGCTGATAGGCGCTGTGGAAGGACTTCAGCTGGCCTGGGAGCTGGGCTACCGTAGGGTCAATGTTCAACTTGACTCGCGATGTGCAGTGGAGATTCTTCAGCGGCAGCAGGACCACGATCATCGCGATTCAGCTGTCTCCCATCACTTCCAGGAATTAATGCAGAGGGACTGGGAAGTTTCCCTCACTCATATTTATAGAGAAGGTAACAAGTGTGCTGACTATATTGCTAGTCAGGGTCATCAGCTGCCATTGGGCTATAGCATGTTTCCCATAACGGACACTACCCTTGTATCTTGGATTTTGTATGACACTTTGGGGCTTTCCGAACCCCGTCTGGTTATGAATGAAAGCTGAGATGCTTTGCATCCATTAATAATAATAAAATATATATATTTTTATATATATATATATATATATATATATATATATGCATCAAAACTCACCTTGATTTCTTTCTCTCCTTTCTTTTATTAAAAATACATAATTTCATCTCAATATATTTTTTGAACTTTCCTTTATAAAATAAAAAAATAGTTTTACTTAGTATTACAAAAAAACAAAATTCATTTTAAAATTTTATATAATATATAATATAGAAATTATTCCGGTCAATCGGGCGGGTTACGGGTTCGGGCCAATTGGGTTACGGGTTTATTCGGGTTGCGGGTCAATCAGGTTACGGGTTTATTCGGATTGCGGGTCGGGCGATTTGCGGGTCATTGACTTTTAGTCAATCCGGGTTGCGGGTCGGGTTAGTCGGGCGGGTTAGTTGGGTCGGGTTCTTTTTTTACACCTATAGGTACAGTCACGCAAGACATGTTGGTTTGTTTCCAGGACGTTGTCACAATATGGGTACTTGTCATCTTTAGTAAGTGTATGTACTTTCTAACGCTGTTGGTCGTTAACTTGCTTAGAGCTGCCATCCACACAAATACTCTTACTCTTTCAGGGACATGGAGGCGCCATATCCGCTGCCAGCAAGTAGTTTGCGAGTCTTGGTTTGAAGGGAGGGGGGTTTTATAAGCTGCTTCGCTGAGATTAGCCCATTTGACGTGAGATTCCATATGGCCTGGTCTTTATCTGCTGAGATTTGATCCACCAGGAAGCCTTTAACTCGCTCCATGATCGGTTGCGGTAGATAAGATTGGAACTCCTCGACTTTCTAGCCTTGATACACATCCTAGTAAGCCGCCACCATCAGCTCTTTTTGCGCCGCCAGAACCTCCAAAACAACCACTTCGATCAAGGGTACCTGTAGAGCCCAAGGGTCCAACCAGAATTTAGTATCCAGACCATTTTTAATGTTATAAACAAGGCCTTTCTTCAGCAGTCGAGCCTTCTTGTTAACTAACACAAACCCCAGACTCATTGCCGTCAGTATTCGATGGTTATACTTTCATTGTTAACTTAAAGAAATTTGAAATCTTTTACACAAAAGGAACGAGTTAATTGCAATCAACAAATTTATGGGTAATTATCATAAATGGTAACACAAATTATCACTTAGTACAAAACGATCACTAAAGTTTAATTTTGCACATTTCAATGAAACAAGTTTGGACGAATAACAAAATGGTCATTCCATCCATTCCATCCAAGATTTTAAGTCCACGTCACCAGAAATATTAATAAAAAACTAGTCTAAACATAAAATTTAATCAAACCACCCGACCCGGACTCTAATCCAACCCCATAATCTACCCTTATCCCTTACAGCAGAGATAGACATTTATTGACCCCATTTCCAGCTCCTCGTACGGTACAATCCACTTCCAAATCCTTACAGCATTCAGACGTCCATTTCATAAATTCAATCAAAAATTACTTGAAGCACATAAAATCCCGTCCCAATTCAACAAAAGGTACAAAATTTGCTCGAGTACCCATTTCGAATCCGAAACGGATGGATAGATAAATCCATATAACATTCTAACAGCGCGGTATCGTCGCCTCGGCAGCCAGCGGCGGTGATACGATAGAGATGAAGAGGGAAAGGGACGTTCTCACCAGCACCGACGAGATGGAGACGATGGGGAGATTGGTCTCGTACAGGGCCAGCGACGAGGACGAGGACGGGGCTCAACCGCCGCCGCCCGGAAGAAGCTCCGCCTCACTAAAGTCCAGTCAATAGGAAATACAAATCAACGTAAACCCCAAATGCAGAGATCAAATGCTAATCCGTAGGGAATTTGAATACTAAGCAAAGTAGGGGAGACCCATAACAAAATCTCCAATCCCCAATCAATTTACAAATAAGAAACAAACAAAAAAAACATAACAAACCAAAACGAGATTCTATCATGAACAATTCCGATATTGAAGGGAGCGAATTGGAAAGGGAAGACGACCTCATGAGAGCAAATTTAGGAAATAAGGATGTGCCGATCATGTTGGGAAAATAATTCACGTATACTATTTTTCTTGCAACACAAGCAAACACATAAGATTAAGAAAAACATGCAAACACACATGCAAGCGTCCTAGCCGATAGAATTCACTATCTCTCCTTAAAGAATCTTATTCCCCTCAAGTACCCAAGGTTATGGAATGATTCCTCCCAAGATAGAAAGGACGTACCTTTTCCGGCGTAGCGGTACCTCAAACCCCGGAAACCATCGAACGCAGCGAAACGGCGAGAACCACACTTGACTCTATTTTTTCCTTTGAAAAAGAATGCAGAAAAAACAGTTTTGGACTTTGGCAGAATTTTGGTGTCGGGAAAAACTGATGTAAAAAACCAGAGGGGGGTTAGGTGCTATTTATAGAAAATGAAGGGGTGCGTACGAAGGGAGGCAACTCTTCGTATGGGTGGTTACACCCCAACCATTGCATTGGTTCGTTTAAAATATTTCAACCATTGTATTGGTTTGGCCTCATGGAAGTTGGACCAGTTTGGTTATTCCAACCGCCACATCGGTTTGGTTCGATTTGGTTCAACTCGGTTTGGTTTGGTCCATTTGGTTAGACAAGCCAATTTAACCAATTAACCACATATTCCATCAAATCGATCGAATTCGAGGCCGTGCCTTCCCACATCTTACCAACATGGTACTTCAAGAGACTCTCTTGAAACTTTCCCCTTTTATTTCCATTCACACCACTAAAAATCCCAACAATCCCCCACATGAATGGAGAATGTTGTACTTTAAAAACTATGCAAAATATCGTGTGATTCTCGACTAAGAATTAGTTGCATCGGAATAGGTAGGTTTCCCTTTGAACCTTCCTTAGTGAACATATATCGAGTATACTCACCAATCGGTAGATGTGATATCTTTGAACCGTCGGTTTTGCTTGTATACTAAGACAACATATGTCACACACCTAACTCTTATCCGTTCACTGGTTCTCATTGTTGTGTTCGTTTCAGCCATGAACACCGCCTGGTCTCATGAGTGCTTAGAGAACTGGCCTTCTTTTATTCTCCTTGAAGCGGCTCCACTTCACACTCACATAGGTGATTTCTAAACATGTATTCCAAAAATACACTATTTGATCACATCCTGTGTCAAACTTAGAAGCCATTAAAAACCTTCCATCTTTAGGTTTACCCTTATAGTTGGACATTGTCTCATCATGAGAATGGACTTTGAATAAGTTGACAATGTCGGACCATCATTCACAACTTTGTTTTCTCCTTGAACCTAGAGGTTGGGTCTGCCAATCCTTCTTAGGTAGAGTTACCGCCATGATGATTTGTCCTAGGCCACGAGTCCATTCCCTTCGATGCTATCGTTAATTTCTAGGTAGGCCTAACGTTTGTTATCACTTGATCTAAGATGATCAATCCAAATAACTTTGCTAGAAATTAATCAATCCATAGTGTTACGTTTCCATTATCTTTGACGAGATTTATCACATAACACTCCTAGCCCTTGCAATAACACTTTTGTGCACAAGTGCGTTTTATTAACGCCAGTCTTTGCGGGCGATACTATAGAACTTCACCAGTCTTAGAGTGGGTACATAGTTTAACTTGGACGTTTTCCAAGATTCTGCTCCACATCAACCATAAATGCATATCCATTAATAGATTGCCTTTTGGTTCATCTGGTGAGTTCCCTTTGGGTACAATACACCAAAGACTCGTCTCTTTTCAATTCACTACACATCTTGTGAGCTTGACTTGATTTTATTGCCTTGCAATAATCATAACACATGCCAACGGTATTGAAGTCTCTCCACTTCATTAACCTTAGAGTACTTGACCTTCACAAGTATCTCTTTAAATGTAGTGACATTTATGACCTAGCTTAGGGTTTACACAAAACTTCTAAGTATCACTTTCACTTTAGAATCACCCAAGCGACATTCCACATTACTTCTCCCCAATTTATCCCCCACATTTCAACTATTTCGCCATAGTTGTTGAAACCAACGTTTCCGGTTTGGGGAATGTTGTTCATATATATTCATGTATATGGTCAAAATCATCTCTTTGGGAAGAGTGGATCAATATCAATAAATATTCTAGCCTCTGACATAACGTCAATATATGCTAGAGTTTACTCATAAGTTATACCCTTGGACTGGGTTAACTCCACAAGGTTTAAGGACTCTCACTTTCTCATAGGACACCTTCATACTTTCAAGTATGACTTCGCTTACCTTTCCACTTTTGTCTTATGGATAGGTTTGCGTCCCATTGTAGGGTCTTGAGATAGTAGCCGAAACAATAGGCTCTTCTCCCCCACAATTCTACTCTTTTCCAAACATCATGGAATAATCCCATTTATTTTTCATGGTTTTACTTATTGAACACCGCCAACCACTATATGTGTCTAATTGTTTACCAATGGTATGATCTCACTTGATTAGCATACCACAAACAATTCAGATTGTATTAGAAAAATCATCCAATTACTTACCAATGGTATTGATCAAGGCAACTTGAGACGTCATAAGTAATTCAGATGCATTCCAGTAATGGAAATCCCATTTAATTACTTGCCAATGACATTTCATCTATGTAACATGATATACCACAAGTAATTCAAACGAATTTCTAATTCAATTGTCTGATTACTTTCCAATGGTATAAACTTTATAAATATACCATAAGTAATCCAGACTTAAGTTCAATAAGATCATCTCAATTGAGCTCTCATTCCAAATTGTTTTCCAATGATATACATCTATATATACCATAAACAATTCTGGCAACTAGCTCCACGTTGATAATCATAGTCATCTTGATGACGACCATCATTTGGCAAGCTTATTAAATCCCTTTAAGGATCAATCATAGCTTCATTTTCCTTGCCCTCATGGCATAGGAAACATCAAGTCCTAAACCACATACATGATAAATAAATTATCATGTCTTCACAACTATCACAGGAACTAGAATTCCT